AAGTTATGAGTAATTCATACTATAAGCAGCTTGATGAAAAATGTATATATATCCCTCAATGTAGTATTATATCGTCAAAATATATATACAAGAAAAAAAATCTCTTATATTCTTATTCTGCAAATTTAATGCAATAATAATATGTTGATAATACCATAAATAATTATATGTTTATAAATTGATTACATGTGATAGGTCGAATCGAACGTTTCATGACAATAAGTATTTTATACAAAGTTTCACAACTTTTTTATCATAAAAACTGTGACGACTAAAGCACATTTTTAAGGACTTTACAACATTCTAGCATATTCAGAGAAGTAATAAACGCAAGTGCAATATACACTAGACGTACAAGCAAGTGAAGGTCCGCAAATATACATTATCTTTAAATAACGCAATACTGTTGTATCGTGCAATTTAGTTGTAACACTAACCACAATGTTACAATATATTGTGGAAATTTGTTATTTTTAAATAATGATTAATGCTCTTATTAATCAACTCTACATTCGTCATCATGATTCGTCACCTTTACAATTCATACCAATAGTACGCTACTAATGAACATCAACAAAATGTCCCCTACTCTCAATTATATAAAGATTTTAAAATCGATTCTGCCTTCAGATTTATGATATTATACTCAAACATTGCTATACGATTAAAAACCTTGACCAAGCCATATTTGTACTCACGGTTACTCTACTCTTAACACATAAATTTATTTCGAAGTGTATTTAGATAATCAAGAAGCCAAACTAAACCCAACGCTTCGATAGAAATTGCTTACACTATAAAGAAGAGTGTGAATTTTTGCATAAAGAATTGAATTTAAATATATTATTCTATCTAGTATATAAATGCGAAATGCGACGCTTGATTTAATCCATATACAATTCCCACACTTTAAAGGTGTGACTTGACATATTCCATTAATACAGTTTCTGAACAAAATAAGTATTTTTAGAAAATACAACATTTTTTAATATTTCGCTATCGCTATTCGCCGATTTAAAGAGACACTTTTCAATAAGCGAGGCTGGAAATTTTTAAATATATACTTTACTTGCTAAGGCATGTACAAACTCGTATTATATAAATACATAGCAGGGCGACTTGTAATAGAGGCAGATGCACTAGGATGATTCATGTGCACACGTGTAACAGTATGCGTGCCTATTTAGACATAGAGCCTGAGGAACTTAAACATATTTTAATAAATACATAAATTTCAATCTTAAGAAAAATAGATGCGTTAAGACTTCAGAATTTATTTTTGAAAAAAAAAGACAAAAAAAAAATCCAAAAGTTTATATTGCATTGGTAGATATATACTTCTCAAACCTATTTTTTCAAAAATAGATGCATTAAGATTTCAGAATTTGTTTTTGAAAGAAAAGACAAAAAAATTCCAAAAGTTTATAATACATTAGTACACTTCTCAAACATGATTTTAATTCTATAATTTATATGAATATTTGCAAATATTTTTGAAGTAAAACTTCTTCAGGCACGACTAGGATGTAAAACTATGAGAATGCAACGGAAATTGCGTTACTCTCGATGAAATAGCCGTCGTGTCGTATGAATAGAGATCTGACGTTATATGCGTACCGGCATCAACATTGTATGCGCCATTTTATGCTTATCTATGGTATGCGTACCCATATCAACAAGAAAATTGGCATAGATAAATAAACATTTTAAGGTTGCATCGTAGTACAAATCTTGATTTAATAAAAAAAATCCTGAATCAGAAGAATATTTTACCCTGTTTCCCGTAAATAAATATAATGAAATTAATAAAATAAATGAAGCATTTGTGCCGCGTACTAAACGTAAGTTCATTGAAATAACTTCTGTATTATTCACAGCTTCTATAAATCTTTGAAGTTATTAAAATGGAAAATATTTTAGGCAAGACAGATTTTATAGCTGCTCAAAGAATAAAATTATATCGCCAGCGAAAAAGTAAAATAATACAAGCAGTCAATGAATGTATGCTAATTTTAATTACATGAAGTTCTTCAACACAATTATTACATGATGATGAGTGAAATTGTAAAAACAATATTTCTTTAGGCGTTGTTTTACATAATCCACTGTGTGAACAAATATTATAGAATTTATTAATCAGCAATCACTTCATTTCTCTAATGAAGGTCCAAGTCCTAAATGCTAATTACAATGACAAACCGATCATTTCATATTTGAAGTATGACTTTAATGGACTTTAATTACATTATTATTTTCAAATATTATAAATATTTTTGATGCTATTATAGATATGTAATTTATAATTTATTATTATATAAATGTGTATAATGGTTGAACCTAAAAATGTGTGCATCACAAGTGTTACCATATTACTAATAAACATTATTTAAAATTGTCATATGATGTATTTATTTTTAACTTAAATACCATCTCGTACAATGGCAAAAAAGTTTTACTTCAATCGCGTGTGAACCTTACGCGCACTCTTTATTTTAACGTATTCTATAAGTTAAGGAACATTCAAATGATGTAAAATAATAGAATTTTTATGAAGCGGACTTGTATCTCACAACATACAGATATTTCAATAACAAATTTTTAAATGTCGGTTTAATCTTATTACCGACTCTCTGTCTAGTTCATTGGAGTTTGCATTGGAAACTACACGACCATGTGACAAGCGAGAGAGAATTTGTGATACGTGAACCATGGACTACTAGAGCCCATGCTTGCACCAGGTGTTGGAAAAATGAAATGTTTTTTTTATTGTACTTAGGGAGTGGACAGATGAGACAAACCCATTTTATTTTTATGCAGTAGAAATATTTTGTTTTATAATTTTACTAATACATTTTGTACCTTGGGTCGAAAAAGCCAGAAAGAAACTGGCTTATATTTGTTTTAATAATTATTTCCCCCGGACCCATGTTCTCGATGACCACATATATCAGTATATGTAGTTCTTGCATCTATTGATAATGAATTTTTAGTTTTATTTTCATTTAGAACTTTTCAGTAACTCTTGCAAAATAGCATAGGATATTAATGTATTTAACTATTTACTTACATTTATTTTGGTAATATGAATATTTAGAAAATACCTTTCGAATTTATTATGTGGGTTCAAAAGACCTACTGCTTTGTGAATATTATTAGAAAAATTATTTTCATATTTTTAGATAAACAAAATAATAGGTAAATAATATCTATTCACCACTATCGTAAATTTTACCAAACCTTATACTTGTTTCCAAAAATAGGTAGTAGTATTCAATTACCAAAATATTGATTTGCACTGCTTTCAGGAACGTTAAAGGTTTAAAAACCCTGATAATTCGTGAAAGCAAAGTTCCACGCGGAATCATTACTAGGGTTCTTTTATTTATATATTATATTCCCTATGATGTAACACAAATCTGCTTATTTATTGATTTTCCATATTAAAAATAAAGAAGTTCATAATATTTGATGAAAATAAAAATATAGATATAAAAGGTGATTATGAAATAAAATACATTTCTCTAAGCAGTACTTTAGCATTTGTATACTAATGGAGTTAATTTTCAAACAAATTAACTATCCGAATGTATGTTTTCACATCAGGTAATTGCATTTTTATTATCGTACTTAATAGAGGTATAAGTAAATGTTTACGAAACCATTAGTCGGTCGTGCTAACGTATGCACAATTAAAAGTTTTAGAAGCACCCATTGTTAAGCTTGGCGTTGATTTTAATTAATTTCAAATATACTTCTCATTCTAGAATTTTGTTTATATTTTATAACTTATGTATTTTTTAGAGGATAACCAATAAATGGAAGAATTTATAACATATTGTTAAATAAAGATGTATAAAAAAGTTTTGTTGTTTGCTCATGTTTCAAAAAGAAATGTGTGATCAATTCATCAAGTTTTAGAATAAAGCTAGTAAAACTTATCTATTGAATGACTAAGCCAAAACCCTTATCTAACACAAAAATATTGAAATTAAGATGGAAATGTGATCTTATGATAATTTTACTGTATACATTTTGTGATGTTAAATTTTCAGCACACAATTCTCTCGGAAAACAAATTATTCATAGTTATTGAAGAAGTGAAACACAATGAGTACGAAAAATATTTCTGCTTGTAACAAATGCTAAAACCTTAAGGTTATAAAACATGACTATGACCTAGAAAAGCAATTACATAAAAAGCACATGTAATGAGCTAATTTTATAATGCAATGAACACTTATAATACTTCTTACATAGATAACTAAATTTACTGCATTTTAAAAACATTTCCTAAAGTTTTGTTGTTTACTCATATTTTACGAAGAAATGTGGGATTCTGAAATCAATACTCTAACCTCAAATTATTTATACGCCCCAAAATTACGAATAAGATAATTCTTGCGCAATTAGTACAAAAACGATTATATTACAATTTTGTGTAAACGTTTAAACGCAATTTTCGAAACAAGTGTTGCAACTTTTTTTAATTGAGTAATTGCGTACTATTTCAATAAAGCGAAAGTAGAGATTTATATAGAAGCATACCGTCGATATCTTATATTTGTCGACATTGTCGATATATCAACATTGTTAAATACTTCTCAGTGAACCACATGTAATACACACAATATTTTAATTTCATGTAATATTAAACACGTAGGTTAGCTTCAACTCCATATTTCTATCCCATTCCATTTCACACACGTCGATATAAATATATAACACATAATCTGGAAAAATCTGAAAAGGGGCCTAAATACATGATTTCGTAAGATATTCTGCACACATATATACACTATTTGGCGCAGTACGATAACAACTTTTATAAATAATCGTTCAGAATTCGAATAATGACGTTGATGCATCGTTAATTTTTGGCTGAAACTAAACTGTCCCCTAGTAACATACATCATGACGAACTGTCGCAACGACCAAGGCAACCATTTTTATATTTGATTTTAAATAAAACGTATTTGTAGATAAATCTGTATCATTCCTACCTGTAATCATCACCTCTCCGCATTGTATTTAATTATTCGTACTACCACATAATAAAATTAAGTGCACATATTCAACAAAAACAATTAAAATCTATATTAAAAACATCGTTCACTATTTCACTTTATAAATTCAACGAACAATGTGTCCACCATTTTGATTGTCCCATTATGATCGTCGTCAACACGAAATGAATAACAAAACCACCGCTAGAGGAGCTAGTATAATTAACGTTGAGGCACCAAATTCAAACTCTACGATTTCTTAACTGCTGCCTTATATACACACAGCCTTGAGAAAATCATTTATTATTCATGATGAATTATTAAAGCAATTGATTAATATAGAATATCATAATACTTTAATGAATATATAGAATAATATAAAATATTTCAAACAAAATGAATTCAATTGAATCTAAACTCAGATACTAATTAGAAAAAATACACTCAATAACGTTTTGTCAAATTATAAGTAAAATTGTTTTACTATATTTATCAATACTATTATAATATGTAATTTCAACAAAAATAATATAAAAAATTAACAAATCTATTTAAAAAAAATCAATTATATTTAATATTTTAGGAACAGAAAGAATCATAACAATAATGGAAAAAATAATGTGTATCTTGGCATGTTAATCAAATGTTCTATGAAAAGCTCTTTCAGTACTACTTCTTAAAGTCTCTTGCATTCGTTCAACTTGTTGCAATTTTGCATTTATTTGAGCTGTACTGGCATCTATCCATTGCAAGGATGACATATGTGCATTCAAAATTCTTCCAACTTGAACAATCTGAAATTATAATCAGAAATATAATTTTTAAAGTTAACCAAGCTCAAACATTGTCTAGCAATGGATTGTACTCACAGGATCATTAACATCTTGAGCTTTATTCGATTCATTTAAATGTTCAATAACTTCTTTCAAATCTTCAGCCATTTGTTTTAATTGAGTATCTAAATTTTCTGCTAGTTGATAACTAAAAGTAAAAAATTTCAATATAATTATTAAAATAAAACAAAATATAATATTGTAATTCTTTCTTACCTCTGTTCTCTTTCAGGATCTCTAATGGAAATTTGACTTAATTCCCTTTCTAAAGGTGCTATCATATCTTCTAACTCAATTTGTTGGCTCACAATAAAATCTAATTCATGATCAAGTGCAAACTGATCTAGTTTAATTCTTTCTACATTATCATTCAACATAACAATCTAAAACAAAATGAAAATATATAATGTCTATTACTTTACAAATAACTTTTAACTTAAAGAAAGTGAATTTTACCTTTTCACCATTTTCAATCAGTAATTGATCCCAAGCATTTACTTGTGTAGCTTGGTTCATGAATATTTTCACTTGTTCATCCAAATCTAGAGTCCATTTATTAATATTTTCTTCTAACTGGGAAAAGTTCATTGACGCAATAGGTACAGTGGTATTACCACTCATTCTAAAAAATTATAAATAATGAAAAATGTAAACTATTACGCATATATAATAATATTTTTTTTGAATATTGATAAATATGTTGATAAAACAAAAAGAACTTTTTAACAGACATCTATCCAAGATAATATATAGAAAGAAAACTTAGATATGTTTCTTAAAATAAATTTAATAGATTCATACGTTTCAAACAAAACTTGCATGGTTTGCTTCCGCTGAAAAAAATTTAAACTGGAATTCAAAACGTATGGATCTATTCAATTTATTTTAACAAAGACATTTTAGTTCTGTTTCTATTTATTTATTACCTTGGATGGATTTCATCAACATTTACAAAAAAAACTTGTTTTTTATTTATTTAATTTAATTGTTCGGGAAAGAAACCCTTATCAATTTATTAAAAAATCCAGGAAATATCAAATATATATATGTATATAAAAAAAATCACTCTAAAATAGATCATGCATCAGTGAAATTCTAAAGATAAAAACTCACACAGTGGTTGTTAAAGCTCCAGATGCTTTTGAAGATACTGGCGTAGTTCCAAACCCTGCAAGGCTTGTAGCAACTGTAGTAGAGGAAGTACTTGCAGGTAAAGAAAACCCAGTGGCAAAAGTACTAGTTGTTGTTGTTTTTGCTACGTTAAGAGAAGTTGACAGATTTAGACCAGTTCCAACAGAAAAACCAGTACCAGCTACCGTGGTTGTAGTTGTTGTAGCTGAACATGTTGCCGGGGTAGATGAGACTGCTCCAAATGCTATAAAATATTAAAAATGTAAAGAATTTCAAATTAGCTTCCACACAAGATGATGTATTATAATTAGATATAATTCTAAAAAAAATTTCTTTATAAGGAATTAAACATCTTAATCATTATAAACAAATAAAATTAACCAAAATTTAAATAATATACATTTTAAAGTAATTTAAATCCAATCCAGTTTTCTATATGTATCTTGATATAAAAATAGTACAAATATTATCTTACTTCAAAATAACATATTCAAAATTTTATTGAATTAAAATTTGAAATTTAGTAAAATGTATTAACAATGAAGATGCGCAAGAATTGAACATTGCTGTGTAAGTTCTCAAATAAGTATTTGAATACGCATTCATAAATATGGTAATAAGTATTATGTTCATAATATTTAAAAATAAAAGAGTCTAAAGAGCATCTTTATGGTAAAATTAAATTGTTTTTGTTGTTTGTTTGTTAATCAAATTAAATTTGTAAAAATTTAGCAACACTCTTAAAATGCAAATATATGTAAAAGAATTTCAACAAATAAAAAAAATATTTAGAATTTCTTCATGTCTGTAAATATTTCTTACTTGGCAGAGCTGTTGTAGAAGCAGTTGTTGTTGTTGATAAACCAAATGATAACGTAGAAGCTGTTGTTTTAGCTGTATTGCCAAAACTAAAACTTGGTGTTGTAGCTGCTGGTGCTGCAGTTGTAGTTTTTGCCCCAAATCCAAAATTTAAACCTATTATAGGTTAATAATACAAAATCATTTCCAGTTTAGTTTTCAACATACTATAAAATATTAGGACAAATATTTTGTTGACAAAAAATATTAGATTACCATTCAAATCTAAGTCAGTAATAAATAGTGGCTATTTATTTACCTGTCCCGGTTGTTCCTGCACTTGTTGTCGTGGTGGGTGCTAATCCAAAACTTGTTGTATTTGAACCGAAACCAGAGGAAGCAGTACTAGCAGTATTTGATAATAAACCAAACCCTAAGAAAAATGTAACAAAGGTATGTAACAAAGGTATGTAACTTCTTGCATAATTTAGCTCTAGTATACAAAGGCTATGTACCTGTAGTTGGTTGAGTAGTAGTAGTTGCTTGAGGAGTCGTTCCGAATGACAAAGTTGGAGCTGTTGTTTTGGCTGCTCCAAAACTAAAACCTGCAATCAAATAAAATAAATAAATAGACTGTAACGGTAGTAACAAATTTTATTGGATCATCAAAACAAACCTTGAGCTGGTTGTTGCTGAGTTGTATTAGTTGGGAATCCAAATGCCGGAGTTGCAGTTGTAGATCCAGCATTTCCTGTGTAAGTTTAACCAAAAAAATGAATTCATTACCTTGAATTAAGAACTAAATTTGTCGGCGTTAATTCCGAAGAATTTGAAAACAAGAAAAATAGTATTTTTTTGACATTTCGGTTCTACAACTTTTATTGTCAAAATAATTTAATACAGGATTAATAATCAACATATAATTAGTAGTCTAAATTTACCAACTTAAATAATTAAATGATCAAATTGGAGTAATTTAATAACTAACCTGGAGCTGACTGTTGGGCTGGATTTGCCGAAAATCCAAAAGTGGGAGCAGGTGCACTAGATGTTCCTAAATATTAAAACAAATCCAAAATAAATATATCCTTATTTAGTCAATAATGTAAGTTAAAACATTACCGAAAGTGAAAGAAGGAGCAGCACCACTAGCCTGAGTTGTCTGTGTACCAAATAAATTTTTTGCTGAAATATTAAAATCATAATATTTAAAAAAAGAGGTTGACTATAACTTAAAGAAGCATAATAAGTAAAACAGTATTACGTGCTACAGTGTTTGAGCCTGTGTTTCCAGCATCCCCAGCCCCTATAAAAAAGATATATTAAATTAATTATTAGTTGCTTTATATATTAATAATGTGAAATTACCTTTAGGGGTATTTGTTACACCAAAACTGAAATTCATGTTTAAAAACGATCACACGCAATTATTATATGAAATCATAACATAACCTAAGATTCGCGCGTCAAATTTAGACAAATAAAAATATATACCTTCATACGACAATAGTGCCATCTTGACAATAGTGCCATCTTGAGAAACATTAAAAAAATTAAACTAAAGCGTTACTTTGATTTCGAAAAATCTAAATTTGTTTCACATTAAAATAAGTTAGTGAAGATAAAAAATAAATTTACAATATTTTCCAATTTTTTCCTGAAAATAAACATTTGGTTTTCAGATCATGTTTTTGTTTTCGTCTGTTTTTTATATGATTATCATCATAGCTAAAAGAAGTGTTATTTGATTGATAAAAAAAGATTATCATAATATTTGAGTGTTTAAATTTGTAAAAGTAATGATTTACAGAATTTTTTATTGCCTCTTCAAAGCTAATTAGTACATCAAAAATCATTTGTAGACAATACATTTCATTGATATAAAAATATCTATAAATAACAAAATATCAACCTCAAAAGTTTTATATATGCACAATATAAATTCATTTACTTGCAAATAAAGTATTTAAAAAATGCATATTTTACATAAACAATTTATACAGGTTGCGGATTATTTTGCCTAATAATTTCTTTCACTGTATCTAAATTTCCTAACTGCAATTCTATATATAAATCTAACATAGATACAAATACATTTCTTTCATCATTTTTTAATTGCTGCAATAACATTTTAGCTTTGGTAAAATCACCACGTATAGCTAATGTAACAGCTAAATTATATGTTGTTATCTGCTTAGCCATTTGCACATTTTTGATCTCCCAAACCGTAGGCGGTGTTGTTTTCGAATTGTTATCATTTGAATAAATTGTTGAAATGCCATTAATAGAATCAGGATCTAAATGATGAACTGCTTCTGATATTTTGTTCATCAACACTAAGGCCTCAGCACAGTATAAATGTCCAAGCATTCTGAAATAAACATAA